AGTTGAGATTTTGATAAAAAAGGAAATAAAAATGTGGCGGTGGGGTCATGGGGTCAAGGATTAAGGGTGGTGTTGAATAGCTGGTTCCAAGTTTGAAGTCAAACTTAGGAAGCAACACAATGCAGTAAAAGCAAAGCCAATGTATTTCAAGATAAACTTCCCCTTGTGAAAGACAACTTCCACGGTCATCCAATTTATTAAGAAAGTATATTTCATTCTTAACTGAGAAAGGCAGCCTCTTTCAATCCTGCTTGGAGCAGTCAAAAGTTGCTGCTCTGTTCCACTCATAAGGAAAAGATTTATTCCAGAGGAATCTGGCCGCTACCATGGAAGCCAACAGCAAGCAGACTTTGCTACAGTTGAAAGACGCTAACAACTCGCAGGAGTTTGAGAAATTTCTGGGAAGTATCACACCGAGGAGGGACCAGATCCAAAGTCTCCAAAGTGTGACTTAGGCATTCCAATAAAATGACAGAGATGCATAGAGGGCTGAAGTACTTAATACAATGCAGCAGGTGGACCACAAAGTCAAAGCTAGAAAAGCTGACATTCATGCTTTTCCCGAGAGGGTGCATCCACGGCCGGTAAATGGCTGGAAGGATTCTGAGAGTGGAACACCTGCCAGTAGTGATGAAATGAGTCATGGTGAATATCCTAGTTGGAGCTGACAGGTAAGATATGATTTGTTCTATTTTAGTCCCCAGCAAAAATCACCTGCATTTTCCCTGATGGTGAAGCTGCCCTAATGTGAGGCGAAAAAACAATGGTTTGCAATAGTCTGCAGGACCACGACATGGGGTTCACTTCAGAAGCCTCAGATTTATGAAGGTCGAAGTGCTAAGCAAACATACCCCATCTTATTGACGCCTACTTACATAAGCATGAACAGGCCCCAAAGTGCAACCAGAGACCCGCTCAGGGAGAGCTCTTCCTGGAGACTGGATACCAACTGGACTCCTGTGATGAGATGCGGAAGAACCCAGCATGGCTGAGTCCACTTGATGATTGCTCCCGCCTAACTAAGCCAACCTGGAGGACTGGACAAAGCCAACGCCAGCCTCTGTTGCCAAGAAGAGAACATCTAGTAGCATCCACCACCACAAGCATGTTCTACAGCCCATCCTCCTTTCCAGTGTAAGGAACAGAGACTATGGGGAGGAAAATGAGGATCCTTCATTCTATGAAGAGGTGAGGAAGAGTGAAACTAAATTCTAAATATGGTATGTTGGCAATCAGGGAGTTTTCCCATTGTCTGCTTCCAAAGTTTGTGGAGAGGTCAATTATGCATTTGGGCTGAACTCTGACATCTCCTTCTGTGAGAGGTACCTGATGGAACATCAGACTACATCCAGGAAAAAAAAAAAAAGAGCAATCAGGATTGTAGACAGCAACAGCTGGAAAGTGTCACACACACACACACACACACAGGCACAACTACTTCTGAGAAATATGTATTCATGTTCCTCTGCCCAACTTGTCTCCCAACCAGGAAGAATTTTGGCAATGGCACTTGGCACTTACCGCTTTCCTGCAGTGAGCAGAACCGTACGATAGGGTATCTAGATCAGAAAGGATCTTCTCAAAAGAAGAATCTTTCCCCAGAAAGACTAAAGATGGAGAGGTGGTGCTTGGGACAAAAGCTACAACTAATGTGCAATCTTGGAAAATACTGTAGAGAATTTTTAGCAATATTGTAAATAAAATGGGAAACATACCAGTTCAAGTCCCTGCTGCTCCACTTCCAATCCAGTTCCTTGAGAAAGCAGAAGACGGCTGAAGTGCTTTTGGCTCCTCTATACCTGCAGGAGACCCAGCAGCAGCTCCCCACTCCTGGCTTCAGCCTGGGCCAGCCACAGACCTCGCACAATCTAGGGAGTGAACCAGTGGATAGAAGATCTCTCTCTCTTCCTCTCTCTATGTAACTCCAACTCTCAATGAAATAAATCATCAATGTTTTCAAAAAAGTTACCTTCCTCAACAAAATGACCTTCTTCAGGTATTTTATTACAGTCCAACGAATGAATACGGGAGGTTTGGTTAAAATTGTCTACTGCTTCTTGATGGATATGGAAGTATGCTGTGCTCCCCACTGCAAAGACAAGGCCTAAACAAGACAGCTAGCTTGCTCAGTTCACACCACCATTGACATCTATGCTGATTTTTTTTTCCATAATATGTATTTTCCATGAATATTTTGAAGATCTCTCATATGTTTCTTTTTGGTGGTCAAAAAGATTTGGAATATTGTGAGAAACATTTTGATATCAAAATTGTCCACAGAACATCTTAAAATATTCAATAGGCTAGCTAAATAAAAATACTCTACATATGTGTCATAGACTGGGTAAACAGCGTATTATACTCATATAATGAAATACTACGCTGTAAAGAACATCGAAAAACTGACACATGGATGGACATAAAATAAGTTTTGAAAAGATACATTTTTGAGAAAAGGGCCCTTATTCGTGAGTGTTGCATGCTCCTTCTTTTGTTTTATTTAAGTTTCCTATTTAGTAACTTTACTTTCTAAAGGACTTGGGCAATTTTCATTCTGCTCTGTAATGAGTAGTTTCCTTGTGTGATTTGCAATTTTGGATTGCAAGTTCATCTCAAATAGGGTTGTAGCTGCAGGAATCGTTCGGTCACAGTGAAGGTGGTTTTGAAGACTAGCTCTGTATTTGTCTCTGCTTGTTCCCCACATGCCACTCCATTAACCTCCTTTAAAAAAAAAAAAGTGTTCTTTTTGTTTAGAGCCTTTTAAGCTGACTAACCCACTACAACTTTAAACCCCAAGCTGCATGAGATCAGGCCCATGAGTATATCTCAGGGAAGTCTATTGTCTTCTCAGTGCAGAGACCAGGCCAAAGTGGATAGTTTTCTTGTAGTTTTCATGTGTTAATGACCAAAATTTTGTTTCAACAAGAGATGTAGGCTGGGAATGTTATTGCATCTCCAGCTTTTCACCTTACCACTGTCAAGGTGGAGCGTACTATACACTTGCATGGGCAATAAAATCCAGACTCTGGTCACCTAAGGCAGTAGCTCTCCACCACCATCCTAACTCCACTGGAGGAGTTTTGTCTTATTGTGTGGGGTCCCTGGGAATTTTTTCCTATTTTATTTTTAGCTTGGCTGTCTGAAACAATGATGTATATGTGTGTTACTCTACGTCTCAAGTTTTTGTAGTATCAGGGTTTTCAAATCTTTTGTTCCTCAGTATTTCCAAGGAAGTTTTGAAAATGCTGGAGATTAAATTCCTTCTTGGATGTTCATATCATGAGCTAACACCACCATATTAAAACCCTTTTTGGCATAATGCAAAAGATTTCTCCTGACTTGGGCTGGGCTTGGCGCTCTATCATCTGTCTGCATTTAATGCATAACGAATTTCTCAGCCAGAGATAGCATGGCCTATTTCTCTGGGTCATGACTGTAACCTACAACACGGCTGTGTCTGAGTCACAGGACCACTGCAGAGGGAGCCTTCTCCCTCTGCAACACTAACAGACCTACTGACTTACAACAATGCCATTACTACATATTCAAAACACAGAAAAAACAGAGACCAACACATGCTATACCAGTTAAGGAGGCAACTTTCTCTGAGAGAAAGGGATTTCTACTTATCTAGGCTCTGTAGAACATTCTCTGTAGGGTCAGATGACCTGGTGTTATGCTGCCCAGAGTTGCTCACGGCATCATGGTGATAGGACATCTTTCGTTCCGTGTGCTCCTGTAAACAAGCACTCCCATACAAAACATGAACACACAAGGCATGTTTGCTTATTAGCAGTCCAGCTTTAACATCTCCCAGGAATGCTTCTTCATTTTCTCTTGCTGACTGCCTGGGATGAAAAGGGCCATAGCCACCTTGGAGGCCATACATTAGAAAGCAAAGCACCCTCCGACCTGGTTCCCAGAAAAACCTACACCAACCTAGCCACTACTGCCTGGGATGCCCGACTCGGACAAGGTGAAGAGTAATACAATTCTTGTTCTTAAAGCTTTTGACGTGGCGTTTGTTAGCACAGGTTGGATAGAAAAAGCTCCTGTTCATGAAAGAATTCCTTCAACTGTGGACCCTGTTCCAGCTTAGATTGAAGTAGGTGCCTTTGCAGAACAGCACAGCTGACTTCAGAAACTGCAGGTTGAGCCATCACCAAAGATGGAGAGCAACTTCAGCTGGGCTGACAGAGAACGAGGCACACTCCTCCGGATGGGCAGACACTCCAATTCACTCCCTGAGGCAGCCACTTGGTAGAAAATAAATGTAATCATTTCTGTGTCTTCCACAGTCGGAGGGGAACGGGATCACATCCACTACAGTGGCCGAGATCCCGTTAGGTGTGGGAGACAACTGGGTCAGTCTACAATGTCCGCGAGTGGCAACAGCACTAGCCACTGGCTGCTCTCTGAGAGTAGGCGAGGGACCTGGGAACCAAGCGCGACACGCTTCATTCAGTGCAGAGTAAGCTGCTGTGTGCTTCTCTGTGCAACACAACAGACAGCCCGTGCATCTGAGACTCCCCTGAGCCGTGAGAAGGCATGCCGCTCAAGCCGCACCAACTGGGGGGCAGGGCGGTGAACAGACAGGTGAAGGAGAAAAAGCGGAAAAAGATTTTTAGAAAATTCTTTTTGCTGCTCATGCAAATAGGCTTTGTGACAAATTCATATGACATCAATACACCATTTTTTTTAAAGTATCAGTATCATTAGTTTAGATGAAAACCAGAAATTTACACTGAAATGAAAACATATAGGTCCAATGAGCACATACAATTTTGTGAACAAAAGAATCGTAATTCAGGCAATATACTGCCAGAAATAGATTTTTGATTTCTACTTCTGGCTGCTGCAGATGCTGCTTTAGGAAGCACATACATATGAAAAAAATACGCATATATATACTGGGCATTAACCCAGATTATTACAAAGACTATTAATAACATTGTAATGTATCACAGTACAAATAAAGGTTTTTTTTTTTTTTTGTATAAAAGTTGCATTTCCACGAAGAAGCCATCTAATAAAAATCTGATTAAACTACACCGGAGACAGGTCAGAGCTGAACGAGTCACAAATACACAGTACCATAGTCCACATCACCATTTTTGAGAGTAAATCATCTCCCGGCCATGTCCTGGGCTGATGCGCTCAAAGGCCTTTCCCGCGACTTCGTGCTTTGGGAATGCACGAAGCTGCCCCCGCAGGCAGCATCAGACCTGCTAGGCTCACGCCTGCCTCTTGAGGACAAGCCATCCAACTGCAGGAATGAGGAAAACAGTGACTACACAAAGGTGCTCTTGCACTGACACAAAAGGTTTACCGGCACACTTTTCAAGATGTCGGTATGTTTGACGTGATGAGTCAAGCCCAGGTATACTAGTGACAGAAACAGCACTGCAGCTCCGAGCTCACGGACAGTGATCACACACTGAGACACACGAGCGCAAGCACCAGGCTCTGCCTCTAAGGCTGTATAGTGACCTGTCACAGCTGCCCTAACTGTTCCACGTTTTTAATTTTTTTTCTTTGGGCTGCTTAATGTTTTCCATCCTGTGAAGCAACAGGCCAGTGCCACTTTCTAGGACTTGAATGTCCCACGGCAAGCATTTGCTTTCCAAAGGGTTTCATCATCTACACCAAAGGTGGTACAGACTGCAAGTTTAGAACACTGACATACACCCAGATCACGTAGCAACGTCATAAGCTATCCAGAAGTTTGGACCATGCAAAGTCCATCTCTGGCTTTTTCCATTGTCAAAAGCCAAGCTGCTCTATCTAAGAATGCTTACTTTTTGTCTACAATAGTTATTTTGAAATTTTTTTGTGCATATAGAGAGGACCATAAAGTAAAACAGGGGTCATGTGCACAAGATTCAGTGCCTGTGCAGTAAAGCTGCAGTGACTGAATGGGCTTTGTCCCTCAGCCCATTCAGTTACTGTATTTCCCAGAGAAAGTAAGAAGTGAAAACTGTCTGTATGCTGCTGCAGTATAAATATATCTAATCAAGGTAGACAGCTTTAACACCTAGCAAGAAATGAAAATAAAAGGAGCTTCAGACTTTCCTTGTCAGTGACAAGGTGCTCCGTTCCAACTACCCGTACATAACGAACCACTGTGCACCTCCATTCCAAAATCCACTTTCGTTTTGTAGTTAATTTCACTTCACTTACCTAGTGTTCACTAAATGCCATTCTGTAATGAAATAACTGATGTTGCAATAGGAGGACTCATGATTCCCCTTGGCTTTTAAAATCATGGTTTCTTTGTCCTGGTTATTTATATTAAATACAGTATCCACAGGAAAATCCTACAAAGTCCTACCAATCAAATTTTAAGTTTAAATTACACACTGATCTTTCTCCTTGAGTTTCATACTCAGCAAGTATTGAAAACAAACTCAAAGGCTTCCAATGGACATAAATTAAGTGTGTAAACAGCAACTATTTTGTAAAAGAATTACCTTTTGTTAGGGTGCTTCAAAAATAAAGGAAGAAAATCTTTAAAAATTACCAATATTTAAACTTTGATAACTCCTGTTTCCCCAAGAGACTTTTTTTTTCCATCTCCATTTAAAATTGCGAGTTGCTTTTTCAATTCTAATGTTAGAGACTATTTTGGGAACAACTAGAACTGGCACACATCTAACAGAGCGGCTACAGGGCCCGCCTCACGACACCTGCCTTTCCCATTGGGCGCCTGGTGTGAACCACAGCTCCTCTGCTTCTGATTCTGCTTCCTGCTAATGTGCTCGCTGGTCAAGTGTTTCACTTCCCTGTCACTCAGATAACAGGCAGCAAGTGAGGCAGGGGCCTGGCCTTCTGGCATTGTGGGAGTAAACCAACATATAGAAGGGTTTCTTTCTGCCTTTCAGAATAAAAATGAAAATTAAGATACTTTATGTTAAACCTAGCAAAGTTGGGTGATCCAGAGCCCCAATCATAAAGTAATGTCAAATCAAGGGAAACACAAATTTGACAAGTAGACACTGTATACAAGTGACGGGAAACATCACTGTGTGGCCCACAAATGTGTAATGGATGTTAATACATGCTTTTAGTTATGTGTGTTTGAAAGGCAGATTAAACAGAGGGACAGAAGGAGACAGAGAAAGCCCTTCCATCTGCTGGCTTACTTCTCAATGGCCACAACGGCTGGAACTGAGCAGATCCTAAACTGGGAGCTAGGAGCTTCTTCCACAGGGGAGTAGCAACACAATGACTTAAGCCATTGTCCACTGCTTTCCTAGGCCATAATCAGGAAACTAGATTGGAAATGGGGCAGCTGGAACTCAAACAAGTGCCCCATGGGGTGTTGGTGCCACAAGTGGAGGATTAGCTAGCTATACCACCACAAAATGGCCCCTATGGCCATTTGCAGAGTGAACCAGCAGAAGGAAAGATTTTCTCTGTCTCTTCTCTCTAACTCTGCATTTCAAATAAAATCTTTTTTTTTTAAAGCAAAAGTAAAATGTGTATTCTTTATTCCTTCCTCCCTTTGCAAAATAGTTTTCTAAATAATTAATAGTACATACTTAAAGTGTATAAGCAGAGATTACACAGGAAAGTCAACCCTGAAAAATTTACCATGCCTGTGAACTTAGTTTCCTTTGAAAATTTTACTTCAGCAGATTTAAAGAAATTCAATGACAGAAGGGCAGAACCATTTGACCTCTGACCCAGGGAAGTGTGCTGGCATCCGGGAGGAAGAAGCACCTGAAAGCAGTGGCACTCTGCATAAGGATGCGTCCTCGGGCAGGACACGGGCACCAGCCAGGGCTCCCTGGTCACAGCGCTGTGATGGCCTCGGGCCTCCAACCAGAGTGACACTGTGGAGGGCACACTCAATGGCAACAGTACACTGGGGCTAAAAACAGCTAGCTAAAAAGATGAAAAGTAATCTAAAACCTTCCTTTGTGCAAAGTCTGCAGTGGTCTCCTTTAACCACGGGAGGACAGAGTTTCAGAACCTGCACCCATCACCAGGGAGCCCCACGCTCACAGCTGACACCAGGAAAGCGTTACTACACGGGCAGGCAGGGGTATACTGCATATTGCTCTTTAAAGATGAAACGCCCTTTGAATTTCATAAACCTGCACTTCTCATTATTCTGTCTGGACCCAAGGGACACAGGTTGACTTTCAGAGTTTTCATACACTGAGAATCTAATTTTATGAATTTACCCTAAGACATAAATCAGGTAAGAGGGAAGTGGACGGATAGAATTTTTAAAAGAGGTTGGGCTCCCCGGGTACTTGGAATATATTGAGTATTGAGAGATTTATAAAGATACAGTTCTCTAACAGATTAAGGAAGACAGAAACGAAACCAAATCTTTCACTTCCAGATGCTGACTTCCATTAATATTTTCAGCAGAAATATAGCAGTCAAGGAAATAAGAAATGGTTTCTCAATTATACTAAAGTGGTGTAAGAGCCAGGGAGCCTCTTAAAATGGAACCAAAACAATGTTACATCAAACTCACAAAAATACCTTGTCCTGGCAAGACTTTTGGCTTTAGAAAGAACACTGTCAAAGGACTTTCGGGGGGGTAAAAATGGCATTTTAGTTCCTCAAAAGCAAAAGAATTCTGCCCTGTAAATTCTCGATTTCCTTCTCAGTCTCTGAAGGTTACAGCATTTCATCCTAAATGCTTGGCATTGACGGCCTCATGAGCTGTGGGCACCGATCATCAACACCCCTAAGTCAGGGTAAATGTGGCTGTGCAGGGCCGGCTACTATCTGAATGAGCTCTTAGGACCCGGAGGAGCCCACAGACTCCAGGTGGGAAAGATAGAAACCCAGGAGGTAAGACATGACCTAACAAGGGAGACTGAGGGAGCCAGGGCACTTAACAAGTCTCTCTCTCTAAAACAGTGTTTGTGCAGTGCAGTACCCAGGGTTCCTTCCAGGTTGGCAAAAAATAAATACTTAGCCAAAAAAAAAAAAAAAACAGGAAGCAAAACCTCGGCCACCCAGGGCCAGTGAGCATGCGCAGGAGTAAAGACTGCCCTGCCTTCATTCATGGGGCTGGCTGCCTTGTTACTAGACGGTCCCAATGAGGACAGGGCTGCCCCCTCAGGCCAGTGTCCTTCCCACCCCAAGCTCCCAGATACACCCCAACACCATGTTGTCCTTCTGACGTCACTGGAAGATTCCCCTCAGGAGACTGAAGCCCATTGCCTGAGACCGCATGACCAGATGTCATCTTTTCAAAGAAAAACTAAGAATCTGGTTTCAACTGCAGACCAGAAGGAGGCTGGCTTTTTGTTTTTGCTTTTTTTTTTTCTGCCTATATTCACATCATTACTCCTATGGCCCGTTGGTGTCAGGCCGGCTTCTGCGCTGCCTCAAGGAGTCTTGGGCAGCCTCCGGGGCAGGGGGCTGCTCGGCGGGCTCTGCAGTCTCCTCAGGTCCGCCCTGTCTCAGGAGCCCCTGGTCAGCGGTGTCCCTCCTCTCCTCCACATCGCCGGCTGGGTGGTCCTCCTCTTCCTCCTCCTCGGCTTCGTCCTCATCGGCAAGGTCTTCCTTCTCTTCCTCGTCATCGCCAAGGCTGTCTTTGTTTTCTTCTTCATTCGAATCCTCCTTTTCCTCGTCTGCATCCTGTAACTGTTCGGCCCTACGTGTGTCCTCTGACCTCTGGTCTTGCTCTGCGGAAGACACACAGAATCATGCTCTAACACGGCAGAGCTAAATCAGTGACAACACCGAGCAGGCGGGTGGGCGTCAATGAGAACATGAGGCAGGGAGTTCTTCTCTACACTGAGGCTACAGTTTCACACAGGACAGAGTCTCCGGGCAGTGTCCTCACCGCATGCAGGGCTTCTCCACGCATCCTTCTGGACACCTGCCCAACAGTGTTGACTCTGGCAGACCGCGTGGGCACAGAGAGCAAAGGTTCTCTCATACTGTTTATTTTGTACCATGTGGAAGGCTCAGTGACCCATTGTCATTGCAACTGGTTCAGAAATAAAACTTAAGCTGGGTCAAGCAGAGAGCCCCTGCAGAGCCTGGCCAAGCAGCAGGGCTCCGTAGGGACTGGGGCCTGCTGAGAACCACTACAAGAATCCTGTAGAAAGAGAATCCTAACAAATCTTGTTGTGCTTGAAGCCAGAACATCCTGGTCTTCTCACACACATGAAATGTTCATTGTTTCCCATTAGGATGATTTATATTGAGTTTCTGCCATCTTTTTTTAAAACAGGCCAATTTTAGGTCCAGCGCAGTAGCCTAGAGGCTAAAGCCCTAGTCTTGCACAAGCTGGAATCCCATACGGGTGCCAGTTGTAATCTCAGCAGCCCCACTTCCCATCCAGCTCCCTGCTTGTGGCCTGGGAAAACAGTCGAGGACGGCCCAAAGCCTTGGGACCCTGCAACCACATGGGAGATCCGGAAGAGGTACCTGGCTCCTGGCTTCAGATCAGTGCAGCTCCAACCACTGCAGCCACTTGGGGAGTGAATCAACAGATGAAAACTCTTTCCCTCTGTCTCTTCTCCCCTGTGTACTTCTGACTTTCCAATGAAAATAAAATTATTTTTAAAAGATGCCAATTTTGACTCACAGCTTTGTTTCTTTAAATGTTTTCTTAATTCATTTGAAAGGACGTTCTTCTATTCACTGGTTCACTCTGCAAATGGACACAGGAGCCAGAGCTGGGCCAGGCCGAAGCCAGGGGAAGTCACTCCTCTGGACCGCCCACAGGAACGGCAGGGGTCCAAGCATTTGGGCCATCTTTTGTTGCTCTTCCAAGGGCATTATGGGGAGCTGGATCACAAGTGAAGCAGCTGGGACACAAACTAGCACTCCTTAGGGATGCAGGCACTGCCGTCAGAGGCTTAACCCCCTGTGCCACAGTGCTGGCCCCAAGTGTGTACCATTTTTAAGATTTCAAAGGATCAGCACAAATTCTTTAGTTGTTATCTATGTAAGTCTCAAAGCTTCCAAAACATCCACAGCCAAAAAAAAAAAAAAAAGATTATGGTTTTACATAAACTCCCACATGAAATTCTGCCACCCGTATGCAGAAGCAGCACGGCGCAGGACAATGAATCCACGAGCAAGCTGGCTGCTGACACACAGGAGACAGCAGATGCCAGCTGCCCTCCTGCGACTCATTTCACTTCAAATGAAGAAAAATGCAATGCAGCAGGGAGAAATAGTAACTAAAATTAAACATTTCTTAATTTGAAAGACCAAAAAAAAAAAAAGCTTTTTATTCAATTCTAGCAAGAGAAGCCATCGTGACAAATTTGGTAGTGGTGATGGTCTGTTCACCTAACAATTCTACATGAGGAGAGATTTAAATTCTAAACCTCAACATTCCCAAAGTACTGTACTGCATGAGCTTACCATACTCACCAGAAGGTTCAGCCAGATCCCTTGGCACATAGAAACATTCTGATATTACCACCAAGATCTAGAAGGAAAAAAGTAATTGGATAATGAGTAGATAGGACACTTATTACCAAAGGGCCTCAAAATTAGGCCTTACCTTTATAAACCAGATATTCTTAGACAAATAATTAGGAGCCGGTCAAAAGTCTTCAAAGGGGACAAGGACATAATTAAGAATTTCCTACTTTTCCAATGTGACAGAATACAGGAAAATACAACTAATTTAGAACAGGGATCAGACAGTCTGAATCTCCAGAGGCTACTCTAAGTGGATCAAGCATGTGTGAAAAAATAACAAATTGCCAGCCACGTCTAAACAATGCTTTGGCAAACACTGCTTTGAACAAACGAAACCACTTTCTATATAGAGTTGCCTCCTCTCTGGGATCAGTGCATCAACTCTGAATAACAGGATTTCCTTAGAGTCCTGTAACCAACCTCCCAGAGCTGGACTGAGAGAAAACATCTCTAAAGTTGGGTGTGAACTGATCCCATTTTAGGCAGCACAGCCCTTCTGATCACTTCTGCTGCGCAAGTCACTCAACACTGCAAATCACCATGTCGGCTGCCGTGACAGAGCACAACCAGGACCGGCCCAAGTCCACGTTCCCCAGAAGGACCCACAGTGGCCACAGTGATGAAACAGCCTGCGTCCCTGGAGCCAGAATGAGCCAGAGCCACTTTCCATCCGTGAACTCACTTTCCCCTGGAGCAGCACACAGCACGGAGGTCCTGCGCTAGAGCAGGAGGCCTTCTTAGGAATGCACACTTGCCTTCGGGCACCTGGCTCACACCGAGACTATGGCTTCCCTTTGAGTAACAGGTTTGCCTTTACAACAGGAATACCACCAGCACATTTGTGTTTTGCAGACAGTCTGAAATTTAAAATAATCCAAACTGATAGACGTCTTGTTTCAGTTTTAAAACACCAAGTGAGTACTGTGTTGAGAATTCTCACTACCAGTATAAACATGTATTAATCGGCTCAGTATTTGGGTTATTAAGTTATTGATATTTGAGGGGTAGTGGTCTTGCAAAAAAAAAAAAAGAGAGAGAGAGAGAAACAATGGTAGCCTAATTATAAAGCAATGTGGAATCTGAATCTCATGTGGAAAATGAATAAAGACATTTAATACTTAAAATATAAACATGCTATTCAGGTATGGGATGCATAAGGATCAAGAACAAATGAGAGCCTGCAGAGGAGCACCTAGGGCTCTGGGAGAGTCAGGAGTCTAGAAGCTCTAATGACACCACAGAGAATCCCAGCAGCCCTAGGAGTAGGAGAAATCCCTGAGCACCCAATATATGAGAGCCAGGTGCAGTGGGCCAATCGGCTGCAGGCAGGCTCTGTGGGTAGGCTGGGGGACAGCACACTGCCAGCCCTTCAGTGTACTTAAACAGCAGAGAGGGAAATACTTCACATGGAAGGACAAGGGTTGAAAACCTTCCACTTTAATGCGACAGTCACACATTTACTAGCCATTAATAAGAAATAACATTGGCAGTAGCCTAGTGGCTAAAGTCCTAGCCTTGCATGCGCCAGGATCCCACATGGATGCTGGTTCATATCACGGCTGCTCCACTTCCCTCCCAGCTACCCTGCCTGTGGCCTGGGAAAGCAGTTGAGGACGGTCCAAAGCCTTGGAACCCTGCACCCGTGTGGGAGAGCCAGAAGAAACTCCTGGCTCCGGGCTCAGCTGTAGCTATTGCAGCCACTTGGGGAGTGAATCAGCAGATGGAAGATCTTCCTTTCTGTCTCTCCTTCTCTCTGCATCTCTGACTTTCCAATAAAAATAAATCAATCTTTTTTTTAAAAAAAAAAAGACTTTAATTTGTCCATCTCCTTCAGAGCATTCTGATTTTTAAATTTAACTATCCAAGAAGTAGTGAGAGAGAAACATGTAATAATGCAGAAGCAGCAAGAACTCCGATTTTCCATGCCCGCAGCAACTGCCCACCAAGGGGCCAGGCCAGCAGTGCTGTCTCCCACCTGAGGGGCAGGGGCCTGCAGAATCAGCAGGCAGGAATGCTCTCTGCCACTCAGGTGGAGAAAGGCAACATAAGACATGTACAGAGACTTTCAGATTGGCATTCTCTCTTACCAGACCCATGAGAAGGCCAAAAGCCAAGGTTGCTATGATGAAAAAGAGGTAAGAACACCACGCAGGGATCCCAAGGGTCACGGTGAAATAATTGTGAAGATGCTGAAACCAGAAAAAAAAAAGAGATTTCTTATAATAAGGACCAAAAAATTTGAACCACCTAGTTTTAGCTGTAATTCAGTCTGCAATTTGTCTTTGTAAATGTAAGTTCCCACTAAGCTTTATATATCTGAGTTATTTAAATGAGCAAATCAAATTATATAACACTGGTACAATCAGAGTAATAACCATGCTCAAACTTAGTAAGAGATATTTTCTTGCAATTTGTGATCTGGAAAAAAAGTTTTCAGAGGGCAAGCTTCTTCTGTACATAATAGAAGATTGTTTGGTTCCCCTCCTCCTCAATTTTTATTCACAATATAGCATCCATCGCATATACTTCCTGTGTTCTTATCAATTTTAAGTACAGTTAGTACTTACAGACCCGAGCCACTGGAAATGTCTCCACATGCCCTTTTCTAATTACTCACTGCTCTCCCAGGGCTCATTCTGAACAACTATACCAAATCATTATAAACCCTACAATACAATATTATTAGGACAGCTTTTCTGATTCATCATGAGCAAATTTCATCAGTGTTTGAGAAACATCCCCACTAAAATGGGGTCCCTCGCCTTACTGGGCCCCTCGCCCACCACCCCACCAGGACTACTTGGAATGACAGACACTTGTAAAAGTGAGGAAATCTGAGATAGATCTTATTTGCAATCCCAATCACTTGGGAATGAAATCAGAATGATTTAGTCATCTGGTTTACAATTTTTAGAACCTCAAAAATAGCCATTAGCTGTAACCCAGACAATTACAGACACAGAATAAAATGGTTCTGCATTAAATATCTCTCCCAAGCAAAGATAATGCTAAATGACTTGCCTAGAACCAGTAAATCTAATTAAAATTCACTCAATTTTACTTTAACAATTCCCAGAATCTTAATCACTCCCAGGGATTTCTTTGTTCCTGTTCACAGAATTAAACAATGTATTTTATTCTGGCATTATTCTTAATGATACACACAAAAGTTTGTTAACTCTCTAGGATAATCTGAGATCTCCCTCCCTACAATGCTTCTGTATTTATTATTATTGTTTTCCGGGATACAGAAATTTTTGTAAGTAAAGGGTTCTCTCCCCTCCCCTTCCTCTTCTTTCCTCCTTGGTCTCTCCCCTCATCATCATTTCCCCGCTAATTTCTTTTTATTTTAGCACATGAGATAGTCCTAAAGATACAGCAAACATTTTAAACACTGACATATATAATCAAAGCATTCAATCTATACTGCTTGAAAAAGATATATCAAATGCCTAAGTTATTCACAGGAAATGTAACCAAACCTTGATTTGTAAAATTGTCAACTTCCTTCTTTGGTGGTCCTGTTCATCAAACTGTTCAATTGAAAGCTCGGATCATGACAGTAACACAGCATTCTACAAACCAGCAGGTGAAAGAGGTACCTGACTTATCAAAAGGAACTTTAAATAAACATTCTATATATTGATACCTAGTTTAGGAGATACTGCATCTTGGACCCATATTGTAGCACAGTGTGGGTAAAGTTCAAGTTGCTCCTCTTCTGATTCAGCTACCAGCGAATCAACCCCCAATGGGAAAGCAGATAAGGATGTCCTAGGTGCTCGCTCCCTGTCACCCATGGCTCTCGCCCGGACTTGGCTGTTAGGTTGATTTCAGCAGTAAAGCAATAGATGCAAAACCTCAACCCCTATTTCTCCATTTCTGCCTCTGGCAAAACAATGCCTTTATTTATTTATTTTGATCAGTCAGTGCCACTAGCAATATTAATGTATCAAAACGAAAATATGTTAAAAGGCAATCCACCACCATAGTCAGTCTACACCATTCAGACCCATGGATATATTCTGGAACCTTCTTTATGACTATTTGCTGTCTTGCTTTTCTTATGAGTGGGGAAATGGTGCACAGTTGGAGTCCTTCTGGACACTGTCTTTTGCCCTTCCTGCAAAATAAATGATGTAAACAACCTTAAAGGTGATTTGCAGATTTCAGCAAACTACCTCCTTCTGATAGATTGATACCTAATTCCAACATTCAAAACGTTCCCTTGTTATAAACTCCCCTAGAATCCTCAGGTTTTAACTTACAGGGTTTATTTCAACTGCTCAGAGAAACCCTGCCATCTTGTGGTCTGTTAGGTAATTATTGCTGAAGACTCCCAATCAAGTTGTGTTTTCACAACTAGACAAGAATGTTTATCCATGACTTTCTCTAAATCCGTAACAGCTCTCGAGTGTCTTGTGTTAAGATTTGTGTACTATGTTCTTTAAGTTTTAATATACGTGTATCCAAAGTAATTACTAATTAAAACCGATCTTAATTCCGTTTTACAAAAAAAAAAAAAAATTGGGGGGTGGATATTTCTATGTAATTGTCAGATAAACTGCTTTTATCTGTGGAATAAACAGATCCCCGGGGCCAGCTCTGTGGAGTGGTGGCTAAAGCTGCCACCTGTGACACTGCTAACTCATGTGGGTACCAATCGGAGCCCTGGCTGCGCCACTTCCAATCCAACTCCCTGCTAACGAACCTGACAAAAGCAGCAGCAGATGGTCCAAGTGTAGGGGGCCCTGGCACCCATGTGGGGGTCCTGGAAGGAACTCCAGGCTCCTGGCTCAGCCTTAGCCCAGCCTTGGCCTCTGCAGCCATTTGGAGAGTAAATCAGCAGATGGAAGATTTCCCTCTACTCCACGTATTTCTCTCTATTTAACCCTTTCAAGTAAATAATTAAAAAGAAAAACAAAATAGAAAATACAGATCCCTGACCATCATTTCAGTACTCCATGTGCTTATTACAAGGAAGTTGCCCACTCTGTTTACTGAAAATGAACTGAAATATCCTGTGGATACAGTATCTTATTATACCAGATTAATTCAAGGCAACTTGTGGCTACATAGAGATTCTAATGAGAACACCAAATGAAAACTTGAGGAACTTTCTCACTAGACTACAGCTCCCACAGGCAGTGTACAAGAGCTGGGGCTGGAAGCAGGCCAGACAAGGCAAGGTTGCGGCAATCATTAGCATTTGTGTGAGCCAGGTCTGATGATAAGCCAGGTTAGGCAAGTCGCAGCACCCGCTGGCACATATACGAGCCATGATGGATGTGGGCCATGCCCAGGTGGGCAAGGCTACGATACCTGCAGACTATGGGCAGATCATGCCATACTGGGTCAAAGTACCCACCAGTACATGAAAGATCCAGAACTAGGAATGGGCATGGATGGGAAACTTTGGGGACTCTCCTGCTAAGCTGTAGCTCCACTGGGAAATGTGAGAACCAGAACTATGGGTAGACTGGGCTAGGTTCCAGCACCCAATGGTGCCTGTGAGACCAGAATGCATCTGGGACAGACTGGGCTAGGCCATAGCACCCACCAGGTCACATAAGAGCCAGGCAAGTTGGGCTAGGCTATAGCACCCACTAGGAAGAGCCAGAATGGGTGAGGGGCAGTTAGGCTAGGTCACAGTATCTGCTGGTGAGTGCCAGGACTGGGGCAAGCTATGTCAGGCTGGGCCATAGCACCTTTCAGCACTCACAAGATCCAGGGGGAAACTCAGAAAACTCCCTTGCTAGGCCACAGCTCCCTCGGGTGAACATGAGAGCTGGGGTAGGGGGCTGGGGACAGGCCAGGTTAGGCTGGGTTGCAGTACCCTTGGCATATGTGCAGGAGAGCCTTGTGGTTGGCATGGCTGGGACAGTACACAGCACACACTGGCATGAGCAAGAGCCAGGATGGGATGTAGGCCAGGTTAGGCTGGACAGCAACATCACCAGTTCACATGAGAGCTGGGGATGAGAGTAGGCCAGGCTGAGCTAGGCTGCAACATTCACTGGCATAAGCAGGCACTAGGTGCAGGCCAGTCTGACTGCAGCACCTGCTGGCAAATGCTGAGACTGGGGGCAGGACATCTCAGACTACGCTGCAGCACCCACTGGCACACTCAAGATGCAGGGCTGGGAGTGGACCTGGTTGGGGGCTATGGGAACTCCCCTAGTGGGCTGCCTTTCCCGTTGATGAACATGAAAGCCAGAACTGGGGATAGGCCAGGCTGGTCACATAGCCTGCATCACCTGTCAGCCCACATGTGGACCAGGTCTGGGGGTAGGATGTACTGAGCTAAGCTGCAGCATTCATGGGTGTGTACAAAAGCCAGATGGGATGCAGGATGAACCTGGCTAGGCTGCAACACATGCTGGCACACACAAAAACCAGGCCTGGGGTGGGGTGGGCCTGGTGGGAGCTACTGGGGTACCTGCTGGCGTGTATGAAGACCAGGCCTGTGGTGGATGGGGCTGGACTAGGCTGCAGCACCAATAGGTCTGCATGAGAGAGATGGGGCTGGAGACAGGACGGACCAGGTAGCTGCATCCACCAGTTTGTGCGCTGGCTGGTGCAGGTAATGGACCAAACCTGACCCTGCACTAGCTGGCACACACAACAGTCCTACAAAATTCCTAAGGAAGAATATCAGGAAGAGAAGAGTGACCACTACCTCAATCACAGGTGGATTTCTTTACTACTATTTATAAAATACACTTTGTTACTCTCCAGTCTTAACATTCATGGCTTTCAATCAAGAAGAAAAGCAAAATTCACCAGGGGTTGTTCCCCTGAAAGATTTAGTACATCTAATTTTGGGTAAAAACTGCCATATGCCTGCGTCATTTCATGACAACAGCAATGTTTAGGAAAGACAACTGGCATGTGGTAAATCTCAGTGAGGAGTACAGTCAGCAAGTCCAATACAATCTCGCTTTAAATATATTAATGCTAAACTTAGTTAGCAAAAGTACAAATACTGCGCAATTGCCATGCATCTCTCTTCTTAGGCCTGCAACAGCCTTGATTAAAAATAAAAGCTTAAATTCTGTGTTACCTATTACAAGAAGGGAAAAGTAAAATAGTGAGGACAACAAGGATATTAACATATATAATAAAAGCAATCATCAAGTACATGTTGGCTGCCAGGTCCTGTGCCAAGGAGGCATGGTCTAATGAGGACAGCCAAGGGCATCAGAGCACGGTGCAGAGACAAGCATCTGAGGTGGGGGAGTGCTGGCATGCGCTTCTGCAAGACAGAGCAGTGCCTCTCTGCAGCCGACCATGGAAAGAGATGACCGTACAGAAGGCTGCAATCCTTTCGCACTACAACTGGTCACTCTACATCCTTCCTTGTTCTTTGTTGTTATCTTCTTTTTCTGAAACTTGTTATACTTGTAAGGTTGTAGCCTGCTCCCCCTGGCACCCTCTCCTTCCATCATCAGCGGCACTGTATCTTCTGTTCATGGCTACACTGACTGCACTGCCATTGCACACTATCTAGAAATGAATTAAAAGCAGATTCTGTTTCCTACAATTACACATTTGACATCGATGTGAGGATTCTAAGCAAATAAGAGAGCTAACTAAGCTAACTATACACACAGGGCAGTCTGCTTAGGATGATTAACCAAGTGACTCATTATATGGTCAACAAGGCTGGACTGCACCTAGCGGCTTAAGCGGAAATGAGAGACTTCACAGGAAATCAGGGATTGGGTCTCAACAAGCCAGAGATCACGCACGCTCTAAAAGGGCAGGGCCAGACAACAGAAAACCCAAGAATTAGGACCTATCAAGACATCCGCTGAATGAATAGAGACTTATGTCTAAGAATAAACAAAGTCACAAAGTAATCAACAGGCTTGGGCAAGCTAGATGTTGATATGGGCAGGAGAGGATACTAGAGTTTAGATGGCAGAGTGACAAAGAGGGAAAGGCAGAGTGAGACCTCCCATTTACTGGTTTCTCTCAAAATGGCCAGCTGCCAGCAGCTCCACCTGGGTCTTCCACACAGACAGCAGTGGCCCAAGGACTTTGGCCATAGCTGCTGGTTTCCCAGTTGCATCATTAGGCACCTGGAGCAGGAGCTGAACAGCAAGGATTGGAATCAAGACTCCAACATGGGATTACAGCACAGCAAGTGGTTATTAACTTGCTATGCAATAATGCAAAACCTATTCCAATTTTTAAAGATAATATACACTTACATACAGGATCCAAATAATCCATGAGCCTACCATTTATGTTCCTTCCACAATCTATAATTAGAGTAAATATATTGGTGAAAACTACAAATACCAATGGACTAAAATTCTCCAAACTAAATTTATTGTTATGTGTTCTACACAAGGCTAATTTTAAATATAGCAAAGGGTTGAAAATGAAAAAAACAATCTAGAAAATTGCTAAGAAAAATAATAGCATTTATACCAGATAAAAACTGACCTTATAAAATGTACAGTATAATTACATCAATATTAAATTGTATAGTTTATCTTATAATAATATCTTTACATTAGATAAAACTGGTTTTATAAAAGGTAAGGCATAATAAGGTGTGTATTAAATTTTATAGTTTATACAGAATATATATATATCTGCATTTATATATACAGATATACAAACTTAAAATACATATACACATATCGCGCACACACTGTATCATGAGGAATCGATAAGAATATTCAGTTGTTCAGGAGCATCTAACGTTGTGTCTTTCAAATGACTCCTTTTCTCCAGTTCAGTGCATCCCTGCAGAAGCCATCTGTGTGGCACACGGTTGAGCGCAGTGCTTACAAAGACAAAACACATCCTGGCCTTGAAGTGTTGACTGCCAACACACCATAATGATTACATTTTAATAAAATTTTTAAAAACCTGTCAATTCTTACTCAAGTTCTTTTTAATCTAATAAAAGAATGGCAAGCTACGTAAGTCCAACATATGTATATGTATACTCTTTCTATATTTACACATAGATATTTCCTCAGATTACCTTTGAAAGCAAACTTTCCCTTCAACAATCTGTGAAGACCATGATGAACTTCACCTAATCTCTTCTTAACCTACAAAGCAGATTTGCCTCCTGACCTGCATTTCTCAGAGTCTGTGCTGAGATCCTGCTGTCGGTGCTGCCTGACATCTATTCGCCACAGTTATGACTCAAGCATTACAATGCTGCAAGCCCAGACGGCTATCTGTTTATACGACTTGGTCAACTTTCATGTCAACCCAGTTTGCAGTTCACGATGTTCAGCCCTCAGTGAAACTTCTCACCCACTTCAAGAGAACAGAAAGAAAACTATGTAACAGTCAGACTCTTTGGAGGGAGGGGAAATACTGCTTGTTATTAGTTCATGGGGGAAACAATCAGCCCCCTCCTAGATTTGAATGCAGCTTGAATAAAAAAGATAAAATTCAAGCTTCAGATTAGCCACTGCTGTAAAGATCCAATTAAAAAAAAAACAGAGGTATTCTACTTTATAAGATGGAATATATGTGTATATTCATATAACAAACATTTATATATTTGTATATACATATATGAAATTGGATGTATAAGAGCTTGTTCTTAATTTACCCCAACAACTATCGGTGCGCACGAGAATCTACACAAGCTCTTTAAATATTCCAAAACTAGCACGATGACCTGTGACCATAACTTAGAAAAGGCCTACACTAGGGCTCACTTGTAAAGACTTTTTTGAAATATTTTTGACCTATATTCAATTTCAAAGGGATTTTATTAAATCTGCTTGGCTTTGTTACCCACTGTAGAGAACAAACTGCTGTGGGACATATTCAAGATTCTGTTAAAGCTCCCCAATGCACCTCCTACCTGCTGGAGCTCGCAGAAACGACTGAGTGAAATCAGACTGTCGCACAAGGTAGAGGACCAAACAGTTTTTTCAGCATGTTTCCTAAAGATCAACTAGTAAACATTTATTTGCATCGGCCACAGCTCTGTGTGCCTCAGTCACAATTACTCAACGCTACCTGGTGTAGCACAAAAGCCACGGTGCGTGAGGAGTACGCACCGTTGTGTCTGAAACTGTATAAAAGCAGGTGGCTCAGACACTGTGAGTAGCTGGCTGACCCCTGACATGAGCCATTTTCAGGCTCAATGACCTTGATCCGTAATGTGGAGAAAAGGTGAAGTGAAGGACAGAAGCTCTTTTGCTTGGCTGACAGACTTAACGATCCAACGGATTATGACATTCACGCTCAGTTTCAGCATTCGGATCAGTGTACGCCTGTCCACAAAGACTCATCACCTGGATCCGCACACCACCGAAATGGGGCTTAGGGAAAAAAGTGGAACTGTATGCATCTATTTCCCCGTACTTAGCATATCTGTATTCTTAGTCTGAAAAACAGTTTCTTCCGAGATTACTTACCCATATCTTGCCAGAGATGCTAAAAAGGCCAGCCATTCCAGACATCCTGAACAGAAATGAAGGGAAGAATTAGACATCACGAAGCTCAGGAGTACCACTCCTCTTCCGGGTACACACAGTGTTGTCCCTCTGGCATTCGCGGACATTCTTAGCTTCAATTTTGTGGACATAATCTGAATCATTCTGCTGCACATACATTCCAATTCCAGCCCTAACCCTAAGCCTCTAGGCCCTCACAGTGCACCCTTGGAAACACCCAACGAACAATGGGGAAACATCAAAGAACCAGCTGACTGTTCTGGCTGCTTCGTAAGCCAGCTTGATTTGGACAGTCAGGAAAGCCCGGGCCTTATGGCAGGTTTTCCTTCTGCAGGATCTGAGGAAATAGCTAACTCCCTTTCCCCTCTCTCACAACTTTACATCTGCATCCCCTCTTCCCGTCAGTGATCGGGCACTGCTCCTACATCACTGTGAAATTAGAAGCCAAATGGGGTATTTTCCCCTCCCACCACCAAATCTGAGCCTGGTGCACAACTACATCTGCCTTCGTCCACCACAACAGAGAAGGGCTGTGCGGCTCTGTCCTACCACCAGTTCTCCGGCCAACAACGGGGCCCTGGCCTTCCCCGTTATATCCACAATTCTCCCTCCGACACGCATCGGGCTCAGGAGCTCAGAAACATGCTCTGCTCCTTCCTGGCCCTCACGTGGCTTTCCAGATTTACTGACAAATTTCATCAAAAAGCAATCAGCACTTACTCATTCCTCTTCCTCAGCAGGCGTGTAACCCATTCAAAGCTGGCTTCTGAGACTACCTGTACTGCTTCATTCAATGTCCACATCTCAGCATCTTTAATAATACAGGACACATGTGACTGCTTCTTCCCTCTCCTTGTTACTGGAAGCTTTGGGTAATTATTTCTTCACTCACCTCCTGATCTGAGGGCAGCTAGGGATTCCATCACAAGTACTCCTGCTCATCTTTTAAGGTGTTACCCTCCCTTCTGAGTCTAAACTGCCCCAATTTGTGTTCATTTGTATTCTCGAATTCTCCATGGAGACATTTTGTATCATGTACCCAATCTGACACCCCTATTGCCTGCCTCAGGAACTTACCATGTCGCACCCACATCAGTGATTGATACAGGTAACTGATCAGTGATTGATACAGGAACCACTGAGGATTCAAAGCAGGAGCCTGTTTTCACCTGGGAATACCCAGCTTGTCTCCCTTCAAAACATCGACACTCACATACGCCACCCTAAAATAAGCTCCGATCACTGACCAGCCTGGGGCTTTGCGTCCTCCATCCTTCTGCCTCCCTTTGAGTTTTCAGAGGAAAATGGAGGGCCCCTTTCTGCAGGTTCCTTATTGAATTCCTAGCACTTACAAAACACGTGACACGGAATTAAGGCACAAACAATTACACAATGAAATGCGGGAGGTAAGCTGGTTTTATAGAAATTTGTGTATTTTTTGAGTATTAATACAGATAGCTATAGATTATTATAAATGGCCATTGACTATCTGATCCTGCTACATGGCATAATTTATTTCTATTTGAGGAAGGATATTTCGTATGCTTTTATATATATACTCAAAATTAACTACAAATGACATTTTATTCAAAATTACAATCAATTGTGAGCACTGTTACTATGATTTAGACTAATTCACCTGAACAAATAAGATACAGCCTGCCAGAGTGGCCAAATTTTCTCAGCAGTGCTAAGCTAAGCAGCTGACAAATATACTATAGACTTTATTTTTCATAGCTGAGCCAACTATTCCCTACAATGACTATAATAAAGAGAAACTTCCCCAGCTTACCAATAAAATTAAAAGGAATAAAGAAGGGCAGATGGCATTTTAGATGACACACTGTACAGAGAAAGCAGTTGACATGCCTTAGTGGAAAAGCTGGAGGAGAGGCTTTCTATAACCTGTCCACACCTAACTACTTCACTCCCAGTACACTGACACACATGTGGGTCACAGGGACTGAAATAGTGCCAAGGCCAAGCATGGGCATGTGTGGTCTGGGTAACTGGAAGCGAACATGAAGAGAAGCACAGGGTTTCATGAGAAACAGGCAAACCTGGCACCTCTTGTGGTAATAGCAACACCTTGTCATTAAAAAATTAACGACTTACGTCAAAGAAGCTGGGGATTTCCAGCCAGTCAGAGGCTCAACTGCTTGCCATTTCTTCTCCAGGATGTAATTCTGCAGGTCTTCAAAGATTCCTGGGCCCCGGTAACGGCGGAATATCCCATCCTTTGCGCTAGAAATTATTAACACAAGTAGAAAATTAACCCATCAAAATAATAGGTTTGAGAGATAATAAGAATCGAAAGAGCTATCAAGCATTTCATGATTTTCACTTAATGTTTAATTGGTCCAAATGAAGAAAATTATGTGGCTAGGGACAAATCAGAAAGCGGGCATTAATTTTAAACTGCTGCAAATGAAAACCTATATAACTAAAAAGCACTGAGCATTCTAGCACAATCTGTGATTTCAAATTAAATTCTGGACAGTGTTATAGGTGCCAAATTACATTTTACTATTTTTGCTATAAGTTATTTAAACTTTTATCTTACAGTAGTAAAATAGCCATCATGACCAGGTTAAAAACGCTGTACCCACATTTCCAAGTCAAGTCCCTGCTCCAAAATCCAGCATCCGCCTTCAGCACCCCACCTCGTGCTCTGCAGTTCAGCTTGCCAAGGAAGAGCCCATGCTCACCTTGCCATTTTCTCCTTTCCACCACACGCTAACTACTCAACAAGAATGATGAGGATTCTCTCCCCATGACTGCACTCAACCTCATCTCCAGTGGCTCCTGCATGCCATAACCATGGGCACTTGCTTCTCGTTGTCATGGGCACTGCCCACTACTCAGACCACTGCCTTCCTGCTTCTGCCTGGCTTTGGACATCTCTAGATGTCCTCCTCCTCTAATGACTATCTCTTCTCAGTTTCCTCCGTATGGTCTTTTCCTTGGCAGATATTCTAAGGTTGCTTAACCTCAAGTTCTATTCTTGGTCTTCGTAGGTAGATTTTCAGGATAATATTGCAACAGTTATCTCCCTAAATGCTGAGGAAATCTCAATGTGCATCTCCAGTCTAGATCTTTCTCCTGAGCTATTGCTTCTGACATCAAACAGTAACCCACGCTTAACTAGCATATTTGCCTATCTGATCTCCATTTCCATAACTCATCTTATTTGGAGGCCCGCTGATAGCACTTACTAACTGTACATACTCCATTGATAGCCAGTGAATTGATAGCTATCAGTCACCGAGCCCTCACCTCCTAAGGAGCTCTGGAGGCCATTCTTTCTATTCTCTTTCCCCACGACCACTGGAGCCTCTCTATGCTCCATCCAGCATAGCTGAACTGCAGCTGATGGCTGGCCCTGCAGCCTTGGGCATTTCGAGTACACAGAGGGATTGCATGTTCCCTGGGCTTTGATGTGCTTTCTCCTTTATCTAGAAAGACTGACCACCTGATGAACTTAAACCATCCCACCTTATATTACAAATCACTGCACTTTTCACTGCATCAGGAAGTGGTCGTCTGTCCTTTCACTCCAACCTGATCTTTCCTGATACTAGTGCTCTTTCCACAGCACTCGAAGCTTCTTTCCCTTCTAACATATCAGGACAGACCGGTTTTTCCCTCGTACGTCATGTTGAATGCATGCTGGACACGGAAGACAACTCAGAGCTCTCTGTGTGCATTAACCGACGTCTAAGCTTTGTAAGAGCAGCAAATTATTCAAACTTACTGAAAAAATGCTGGGAGAGTAGTGACAAAGAAGCGGCCACTGAGACCTGCAAGAAATGAACACACAATTTACAAGTCAAAATCAGAGTAACCCAAGGACATCTCTGAGTTGGCTTACCTAATCAATTATTGAAATTGGTGTAATTATTGATTCAAGTTTATCAGATAATTAAACTTTAAAAATATTTTGTACCCATCTTTATTAACTGAACATTTTTCAGTTGCTGACACACAACTTACTTATGTTCAATGGTTACCTTGGAGTTTTCTGGCTTACCTGTCCTTTGTGATTTAAAGAGGCTAAAATGACAGATGACAATGACAGAGTATACAGCTGGGCGAAATACTAACTAGCCCACATACTAATTTTAATGTTGTGCAAAAATAGCTTAACACTTCCAGGCTTCAGTTGCCTGATGTGTAAAAAATGGATATATTAAAACCTAAAGGAATTATTCTTAAGTTAAATTAAATCATATATGAAAGCACTTAGGAAGGTACCTATTTTAACTCAACCAGTTATAGGTATTACTATATAAGTTATCAATTTGAAAGAATAATAAGGAATATAAAATAACTGAAATCCTATTTGAAGGGAACTTCAAAAATAAACAGAGAATATATATTATAAAAACATTACGCATGAATTTCAAAACTTGTTGAACAAAAATTAACTTTATTCTAATTTTTAACAAACTGTTTTCAGTGCCATCATAGAACCTGGCACATTTGTAAAATTAGCCAAAAACTTCATACAAAATATATGTGTATAAGCCACATTTTTTATATCTGTCTTGGTAAATTCCTACTAACACTAAATTGCTTTTAAAAAAAACATTTTTGAAGATTTCTTTCCTATCATTGGAAAGACAGGTCAGATTTACAAAGAGAAGGAGATACAGAGAGAAAGATCTTCCCTGTGCAGGTTCACTCCCCAAATGATCATGACAGTAGGAATTGAGCTAATGCAAAGCTAGGAGCTTTTGGGTCTCCCACATGGGTGCAGGGTCCCAAGATTCTGGGTCACCTTTGGCTTCTTTGTCAGGCCAGAAACAGGCAGCTGGATGGGAAGTGGAGCAGCTGGTTCACACAAGCCGGAACACCCGTGTGTGATCCCAGCACGTGCAAGGTGAGGATTTAGCCAGTGAGCCACTGCACCAAGCCCTAACACTAAAAGTATAAATGCTATGCTACCAAAAGACAAAGATAAATAAAACCTTCAGTCACTAAGCACACATTTATGAAGATCCTTTGTTCCAGGGACGATGAAAATTGCTCAACACACAAATGAACAAAAATATAAGGCCTTTGTCCTCATAGACAGAACTTACAGGCTCCTGACAGAGGGAAATCATTTTATCAACTAATTGTGATTATGGCTATGAAACAAGCACAGATACTGAGACTAATGTTGATCACAGAGCTGTACCTGTTACATTTCTATAAATAAATGATATTTATATGAACATCACCAGTGAGTAAAAGGAAGAAAAGCTAAAGAATTGAGGGGAATTGTTGAGTAGTATGGAAAAACGGAAATATCATCATTTTTCATCACTTCTACCTTCTTAGTGAAAAACCAATTGAATAAAATCAATTGCCATCCAAATCAAGGGCCCAAATTTTACATACTTGTGGTCCTTTACAATTTAAAATAGTGGAAGATTTACTTTAAATAAAATGAATAAATGTGTCATTAACATTGAAAATAACAAAGGATATACACACACAGAAACACAAAGACATACATACAGTCTATACACACAATAACATAAACACAAGCGAGAAATAGTGGCTGGCTTAGCAGTTAGGAGAGCCCCATCACCTATCAGTGTTCTCGCGTCTGCTTCCTGGCTCCAGATTCTAGCAGTGCAAACCCTAGAGAGGCGATGAAAAAGGCTCAAGCACTTGGATTCTTGTCGTCCGTATGGGAGACCTGAGATAAGTTCTGGCTCCAAGCTCTGCTCCTAGCCCTTTAAGGGTTGTTGTAGGCATTTGGGGAGTTTGGGCATTAAACCACAGATGGGAGCTCGCTTTGTTTCTGTTTCTTTTTCTCTCCTTTCCTTTCTCTGTCCATCTCCCACCCCAAATTTTTCTCTCTATTTTTCTTTTATAAATGAAAATCAAGGTGACTTCAGGCAAGGTTAACTGAAGCCTGTAAAAGTACTCTAAAGGCATTTTCATCTGTAACACTGCTTAGATTCAACTTAGTAGGGAACAAAGGATCTTGTAATGCATTCCTAGTCCAAATGTCTAAGGGAAAACCTACTGGTGCTTCTCAGTGTTTGAGAATTGTCTGGGGCCAGTGCTCTGGCATAGCAGGTACAATGCTGGACCCCCACAGGGCACTGGTCAAGTCTTGGCTGTTCCACTTTCAGTCCTGCTCATGCACCTGGGCAAACGGTGACAGGCAGCCCAAGTGCTACGGCCCCTGTCCCCACTTGGGGTCCCGGATGAAGCTCCTGGCTCCTGCAGTTGGCCTGGCACACCCATCCACTATAGTCATTTCAGGAATTAATCAGCAGATGCAAAAGCTCTCTCTCTAAATCTCACTTCGCTCGTGCTGACTCTCTCTCACACACACACTCACCTCTGTAATTATGCCTTTCAAGCAGATAATTTTTTTTAATACTTTAGGCTTTTGGTTTAAAATATTAAGTACTGAATGTATCTCATTTCTTTTCTGAATATACATTCATATGACTATTCAAAAATTTTACCTAACAACAGATAAAGAGTATAAGGGAAGTATAATTTATTTAAAAACTTTTAAAATGGAGTGAACAAGTTAATGGAATCTCGCCACCTGTACTCTGGTTTTTTTATCATGTTATATGGAGGATTTCTAACAATACTTCTGTATAAAGTATACTTCTGGTTTTTTAAAAAGAAAAAAAATATTTTATGTATTCAAAAAGCAGGAAGAGAAAGAGATGGAGCTCTCAACTGCCACAGGTTCACTCCCCAACTGTCCTCAACAGGCAAGGCTGAGTCAGGTCAAAGCCAAGATCCAGGAACAAACTCATTAGAGTTCCCTTAATTCATTTAAAATCTCCATCCAGTCATAATGCAAAAACACAGCTGTGAGTCCACGTTTTTAGATGAAGAGATTGTTTTTAAATAAACATTAGATTTGTGGATCCATCACAAGTTTGCCATTTGCTATTTCAACTCAAATAAAGCTGTTATGCATTGCAGGTACCAAATTACATAAACGTAAATTGTTGGGCTGCATTTTTAAGAAGCCCACCATAAAATGTTTCTCATACTCAAATCCAATGTCTTAATTTGCTTTCATTGGATCTGAACTACTAAAAGAGTAAAATGAGCTTGATCTTCAAACAGTTCATTCTAACAACTGATAAAATAAAGACGAACACAGGTGGCTTTGCTTCAAATTCTTGCAGCTTTTGATGAAAATCTCTTCCATGATCCATTCCATTGTTCAGGTAACTTTATTAACACCTAATATGTTCTGAACTCTCAATTATCACAAAGGAAAATAACTGCTCTTCAAGCCCACAACCTTGTTTTCCCTTATAAAAGCAATCAAAACGTAGAAATTGCACATTAATAAGAAAAACAGCCAGATTTTAAAGATTCAAATCCTAAGAGCCTAACTTTCTTCTCAGTTTACATATAAATCTTTGTTTTAAAACTGCAAACACATTAAAATATGAGCATACTTTAATTTTTTTAATATTTTTGCTCTTTTGATTTTTAACTTGAATTAGGTTTTAACAGGTTCAGTGTGATTTGTAAGTACACATCTAGGAACACGATTTCCCTTCCTTCTGTCAAATCCCTTTCTTTCTCCCTTTGTTTTTTTGTTTTTTAAATATTCTAAATTTGTATTATAATAAAAAGACTTCATACAGCACAGAGTAAGATTAACAAATAAAAAGCAAAAGACCTTAATTTAGTTGGAATGCAAACAATGGTATGAGAAATTATTCAATGGAAAAATAGAGTATATAGAATAAATTTTAAAATAAGCAAAGAACACAAAAAGCATAGTAAGGCAACATTTTTAGTCACTGGTTTGAAAAAATATGTAAAACAAATTTTTACAAAACTATATTTGTAGCAATATTGATATACACATTTCTTTCCTTTTTTGGGAATTTAACATAAAAGCCTAATTTTTTTCCCTTACTCGTTAACAGCAATTCTTTCTCTTTAAAATCCACACCATAATAGGTATACACAGAATATCAGAATTAGAAATTCACTCTTGTTGTATCCACTATGAAATTATTGACAGAGGTAAGGTCATTGTGAATTTTCCACCCTAAAGTATAATTTCACATCTTATTTGCTTATTTCAAAGATGTGGTATTTCTTCTCATGGAAACAGAGTCACTATTTCAACTAAGTACTCAAGCTTAGTCACTGGTGGTGACAGTATGAACTTGAGGATGAGTTTCTTAAACTCCCAGCAGCGCCTCTGAAGTACTCTTACTGTGGAGGGGGCTCGTCGTGGCCAACGCTGCCATCGAGGCTGGTTCTTCCAGCGTCCTGGAGCTGCAAGATGAGGCCTTTGAAGAAGACTTGGCCCCTCTCGGGACTGAGTTCATGCTCGCATGGGACTGCGTCAGTTACCAAAAGGCCAGTATGGTGCCAAGGGGAGTCTGGCCTCCTCCACTCATTCTCTTGTGCCCACTGTCACACATCTGTTCTCTTCCACAAACACTCATGCCCCTTGCCCTTTCCCATCCAGCACAGCACTGCAGCCTGCAGCAGCCTGAGTCAAAGTCGGCCTTTCTTCTCAGAGTTCCCCGCTGCAGGTGTTTTGTTAGATTAACAGCGAAGGAACTAACACTTGTCAGCAGGCCAGCTTCCAGCTTGTAAAAACACAAGTTCAATGTTACCATAGAGCAGGGACGAGAATCATTTTTCCACAATATCATTTGTGTGGCGGACAAAATTACCAACTTAAAAAAAATTAGCCTGCCACAGATCTATTGAAGCTTGAGTTCCACCTGCAGTTGCCCTGGCAGGGCCAGACCAAATGATTTCACCAAGGGCTAGATAGTCTCCACCCAAGACGGAAACACCTAAGTAATCCTGGCCTGCTCTCTCCAGTCTATGTCATGAAAAAGGGGAAGGGTCAGTGGGAAACCGCAGATTGAGAGAAACTAAAAGAACCCAACATCCTTGAATGAATTCTAATTTTTAAAAATCTGTTAGAAACAATTAGGAAGCTTTTAGCACACTAGACAATTAAGAATAAAGTATCATGATATCTGAGACTCACTTTCCATGACCCAGCAAAGTAATCACAATGTGAATATGTAAATGCACAATAATGATGTTATATACACACACATTTATATGTGTAAGCACACAGCTACATAAACAGATGCAAATATGCCAAAATGTAACCCGTTGACTCAAGGTAACCAGATCACTGACTCGGGGTAACAGGAGCACGGTGCCCCAAGAGCACGGTGCCCCCGGAGCACCGTGCCCTCAGCGTCCTCATCTTTTGACTGTTTCTGCTTGCAAGGATCCATGAGGACAGTACCCGGCTCTTGGATGACATCCACCTTCCCCACGCTGATCTGCAGGACCTCTCCATTCTTGGCGAACGTCTCCCACTCCGAATCCGTCTGCTGACAGGACGGACACCAGGGGGCGTAACTGCAAAAGGAGAACAGCCCATCAGCAATGCAGACAGAACTCTGACAAAGGCAGCTGGGAAACAACAGGATTCTTAATAAAGGGAAACCGAGAAGGAAGCTTTCCAAAATTTCTTAATACAGAAAAACAAGCACATTTTCCCTCTTAGGAATTTATAAATAGCAAGTCTATAGAAATGACAGTCATAGTCTGAGATTATTTCCAGGGATTACGGTGACATAGAAACTATTGCTGGAGTAGGCATTTCTCCTAACAGCTGAGACTCCTAAACCCCATGTCTCAGTCTCCAGGTTCAGTCATCAGCTCAGCTTCCTGACACCAGCTTCCTGCTGACGAGGACCCCGGGAGTCCGCAATAAGAATTGGTTCATTCCCCACCATCACAGGGAATAACCATGCTATGTTCCCAGCTTCCTGGCCCAGATGGTCGTTGTGGGCCTTTGGGAGGTAGACCAGTAGCTGGCTTTGAGGCATGTACCTGTGTCTTTCCTTCTTTCAAGTAAATATAAAATTGCAATACCTTATTTCAATGTTAATTCTACAGACCTGATTCTGTCACTTCTTGAGTAGTTTTGGTCTCTTGCAGTGAACGCTCTGTCCTGTTAAAGCAGGCCACTTTCCACAATGATGCTTCTGAATCAGCCAATCTGATTTGGAGCCATCATGTTGCAAATCTGACGTTCAGGGGCAGGCTTTCCTGGCAGGCTTTTCCTCTTGGGAATGCCTCAACACGCCTGACCATTTCAAGGAGGAAAGTGGAAGCTAGCCTGTAAACCAGCCCTAGCCAGTACTTTCTTAAGCAGACAGCAAATACACTTGGCCTGCAAGCTAGAATCCTGCTTTTTACATTTAATTTTTCATTCAAATAATCACGTAGTTAAAGAAAAACACAATTGGTGGCTCCTCTGCTTATGGATTATACTCTCCAGATTTCAGCACAAGGGGCCGTACAATCCAGATGGTATATTTACGCTAAGATTAGCTGAAGGAGGAAAAACAGGAAGCCAAGGGAAAGGAAAGCCCTAACCCAGGCAGATGGAAGCGTGCATGTGAAGTTCTCAGTGCACCACAAGAGGCATGTGAAAAGACCGTCCAGTCGTAAGAAGCGGCATCCAGGATCAGTCCGATGTTTTTCTGTTTGTTTGAAGCCCTACAGTTAGCATGACGGGTCAAGCAGACTATGACTGTATTCACACTTTGGGAAAATCCCTGCAGTGGTTACCCAGAAAAAGGTTCAGGAAAGGTCACCATTGAAACAAGGTGAAATGGAAGTCTGCAGCCACCCTGGCAACGCCAGGGGTCTAACCTGGCCTTCCCAAGTCCCATAAAGCATCACAAACACTCAGATCATTAAGCTGCCGGGTTCTCCCCAAGTGAGCGGGAGCACAGGAAAGGGTACCACGTGGAAAGTGGTGCATTGAATAGGATCCTGTTGAAACATCTGCCCAAGCCCTCACCCTATTACCTGTGAATATGATCTCACTTAGATAACATGTTTTGAAAACGCTATCAAAATGAAGGCTCTCTGATGAGATCGTCCTGGATTTAAGGCGGGCCCTAAAATCAGCAACAGGTGCCCTTGCAGAACAAAGACGAGGAAGCTGAGACACAGAGCATCAGAGGAAAGGCCGCGTAGGGCTGGAGGCAGACACCGGAGCTAGGCAGCTACAAGCCACACAGGAAGGCCTATCACCAGAAGGCCCTTGAAAGGATGCCAACCCTGACCACAGCTTGTGCCTGGCCCTCTGACTTCCCCAACTGAGGAGAGTAACTTGTTGCTTCATGCAGTCAGGTTTGTTACAGCAGCTCAGGGAAACGAATACAAAAACTAATTCTACTAGAAGAAACATATCAGACAAGCCTTCGGAAGATGGAAGGAGCTGGTGCCACCATGATTAATATAAAATAGCTTGAAAAAAATTAGCATATGCTGGAAAGGCACTTTAAAATACAAACATGACACAACTGAAGAGAAAAATATCATGTACAGCACACTGTCATAAAAACACACTGGCACAAAGGGAGAAACATTTGGCTTTGCCTCGTGATAACAGAGGAGAAGAGTTATAATTAAAATATATCAATCAATGCTCACAAAACAGGAGCGATTATTCCATGAGGAGAAAATCATTGTCAGTTAAATATATTCTTCAAACCACTTACGTGCTCAAAAATAACCCTTTTGTTAAAATATCGTGGGAGTAAAGGAAATAGGCATAAAATAATAAAATGATCGTCTGTAATGGACGTATTATTTTATTGTGCATAAGCTGTTCCATCAAGGGGCAGGAGGGAAGCAGATGTAGATGAAACAAAACTATCGCTGTTTACAACTTTTGAACTTGGTAACAGCGGCTCACTTTCCTCCTTCTACGTGTCTCTCTGAAACACGGCATCATTTGCAGTAGAGCAACATGCCATGTTGTGAATGACCAGACCGAATATTGTAAAGATATCAATTCCCTTTCATTTTTCCTTTCTTTCTTTTCACATTTGTTTTTTTTTTTGTTGTTGTTGTTGTTTTGCAAAACTTGGTACCTACACTTTCTATCATAAAAAGGAGAGGGGGCCTGAAGAGAGAGGTAGGAAAGAATTCCTGCTAAAAACTCAAAATGGGGCCTGGCACGGTAGCCTACCGGCAAAAGTCCATGCCTTGCCTGCGCTGGGATCCCATGTGGGTGCTGGTTCTAATCCCAGCTGCTCTACTTTCCATCCAGCAGTCAAGCACAGTTCAAGGCCTTGGGATTCTGCACCCACTGGGAGACCCAGAAGAAGCTCCTGGCTCCTGGCGTTGGATTGGCTCAGCTGATTCACTACTTGGGGAGTGAATCAGCAGACGGAAGATCTTTCTTTCTGTCTCTATTTCTATCTATATATCTGCTTTTGCAATACAAATATATAAACTTTCCAAAAAAGAAAAACCTCAAAATAGATATTCACACACAGAGAAAGCGTTCGGGAAAGAAACCAACAGGGCACTGTTAACAACAGGTCAAATTCCACAATAAGGCTTAGGCATCAAAGAACTGTGGGCTCATCATTTCCATAAACTTTTTTTCCCCATCATTTCCATATAATTTTAAAACCTAGAACTGTGCATGAGTATATTTTAACAGTTCAAAAGTTGATAGAATTCTGATGCACATAAATCAGCTTTGCAAATAACAACAAAATACTGAGACCGGCTAAGATTTTAATATTTCACAGTATAAAAAGGGGAATTTTTAAACAAAAACTAAGCAGGGGGAAGGCTAGGAAAAGTATGGAGAGTTATACAGAAGCAGGAAGAGAAAGAGCTACCAAATGTCTTGTGCTTTTAAAACCAGGTCCCGTTGAGCGAGCCTTCACAAAGCCACTCTCGCTCCTTCGCTCTTTCCAAAAGTCTATTTCACCCACTTCCAAAGTCAGCCTCAAGGTCATTACTATCCCAGTCAGAGCTCACTGCGTGGACCCCGAGACCCAGGAGACACGGACCAGATCCGCGGTCAGGTTTCACATGTTTTTTAAAACTTGTACTTCTACATTTCCAGCACCAAATGAGTTCCTGGTAAACACCGTGTGCTCAGTGTTTGTCAAATGAATCTGTACATCAACCTTAATGAGAACTAGAGTCTTCCGCTGAGAAAACAGGGCTTTTTCCCTAATATTTTCTAAATACCAAAATGGCAGATAAGGCCAGGTGAGGCAGATGGCCAATTTTAAAGGGCTTGGCGGTACAGTGAATATTAAGGACACCTGAGGCTATCAGACAAGAGCTCTGTCCAAGCAATCAGAATGACCAAACATGAATTAACTGTGTAAGTCTGGGATTGCTACTAACTTCTCTATGCCTCAGCCCCCTCATCTATTAAACAGAGTATCAGTAACTTCTTAGAAGGTTCTCTGACAATCACATAGCACACACACACTAAAAGCAATCACTTGCACAAGTTTTAAGGGCGCTATCTTACTTCACACTTGGTTGAGGTCACTTCAGAGAGCTCAGAGGGAGACCCAGATGGAGGGGCTGGCACTGGAACCTGGTGGATGAAGTTACTACCTGAGATGCTGGCATCTAAATTTAGGTGCCAGTTCGAGTCCTGGCTACTCCTGCTTCCAATCCAGTTCCTTGCTAACGGACACAGGAAAGCCAGATGGCGCTTCTGGCTTCGGCCTGGCCCACTTCTTGGTGATGTAGTTATTTAAGGAATGAACCAGTATATGCAAGATTCCCCTCTCTCTCTTCACATATCACATACAGGAGATACATATGTGTGTCTATATGCTTCTGTAGCTAATTTTCAAATAAAGATTAGGGGAAGGTTAACCCAGATGGAGATTTAATGCAACAAAAATATTCAAAGTAATTAGGCCCAACACCAACTCTGAAAGAGTGAGAGAAACTGACAGGAGACATAGCCAAAAAAAGATCAAACATAAGGAAGAAATCTAAAGTACAATTCAATAATGTTTAGCTTTATTTCCCTAGGAATGTTTCTCTTTTTTTAATGTGTGTGTATATATATATATGTATATATATGTATATATATGTGTGTGTGTGAATATACATATAAAACATATATATATATATATGTTTTAATTGGAAAGGCAGATATGCAGAAAGGAGCAGAGGCAGAAAGGAAGATCCTCAGATGATTCACTCCCCAAGTGACCGCAACAGCCAGAGCTGAGCCATCCGAACCCAGGAGCCAGGATCCTCCTCTGGCTCTCCCACGCGGGTGCAGGGTCCAAGGCTCCGGACCACCCTCAACCACTTTCCCAGGCCACAAGCAGGAAGCTGGATGGGAAGCGGGTACACCGGGATATAAATCAGCACCCATATGGGATGCTGGCACATGCAAGGTGAGGACTCAGTCACTAGGCTACCACACCAGGTACCCTAGGATGGTTTCTTTACCAACAAGTCAGGAGCACAGTTGCTACATCAGTAATGATAAACCATATAAATTTCATAATTTTTTAAATTTTTCATCCATTATCTATAGAGAAGTTATCACATAT